TATTACGACTCCAAGAAAGGTTTCGTGCAGGACCTAAAGATAGCCAATATTACAGAAATTAATTCTCTCAGACATCTTAATCACAGAGCCTGCACTAAAGCTTTAAATGGGCTGGTTTTTATACAGCGCTTTCCTACTCTTCCTCAGCACTCTCTGCAACTTCCCTCATTCCCTTTTATCTTTGCTTTTTCTACATTAACACATTCATACTCCAATTGATGCATCAGAGAACAATCGACACACCACCACACTCTCAGACACACTCAGTGTCTTGCCCAAAGATATTTGGAATGCAGACTGGAGCAGTGAGGGATCGACCCTCCAATTAGTAGATGACCTGCTTTTTCTCCCTCACTAAAGCCACCCGTTAGGTGCAACTATTTTAGCAGATTCAAAGAAAGACACTTAAAAATATCAGTTTTAAGTTGATATTGTCATTCATTTTGTTATTGTATTTATGCTGGAAGCAACCTTAATATGAAGAGTGGCTAGATTTGTTTATCTCCCTCTTTTCTGGCTTTTTTTCTAACAATATGTGACCGAGCTACGGAGAGGGCTCAAGGCTACATTTGATTACGACAAGTGTTTTTTTGCTAAGCAAATGGTCTACAAATTCCATATAAAAAGCATACTAGTACTACCATAAAAAGCATAAGAACGCACTTACATCATAATATAAGAATTTATTAACAAAATGAAACTGAAAACTGGCTTTTATTAAAAGGTGCTTTCAGTCTGCAGTTAGTCTGCAGAGTAGAAAAACACTATATAAGCTCCAGTGTATTTCCCAGATATTAACCCCTTAACATTAACCAGGTCACTGGTGATCCATCCAAGGTTACGGAAAATGTTTTTCAAAAACCTCTAATGCCAAAATCAGCGTATGACTTCACTTGAAATATAACATCTTCTAGTTTCTTCCATTTAACATCTGGATAAAACAAAAAGCCAACACTTACCAAGATGGGTCATTTGTGAAATCTTGGACTGGGGGTAAAATTGCACTCAGGCTCCACCCTCAGATAGGTGCCAGTGCCCTGGTGGATGACCCAAGAGAACACACAAGCAGTGGCACAGAAGCAGGTGATACTGGGATATTACCTGCTATTATTACATTTCTACAGCTTATATGTATTAAAACACAACTATTGTCAATATTATATTATATTAGCTGCAAAAGCACTGCTGTTTGCTTTTGCAACTGTGTGCTTTTTTTTTTTAACAATTCAGGTACATAATTAACACAATAACAGATATAGCAACACTGCAAAGAAATGGTAAATATAATTTTCACTTCTTAAATTATATATTACTTTAATGTTAATATTTTTTCCTGTATTGACATAAGCTAGTGTTAGCTTGATTTATGGTTGCAACAGTCTTTTAATAATAATTCATCGAGATTCATTCTTTAACCCTTTAATGCCAGCTGTGTTATACTTGATGCATAATTTTTGTGATTTTTTTAAGACCTCATCAGTATTTTGTTTCCTGAAAAACTGAAAATTTTAAGCAATAATTTAGACAAAAATGCCAGATATAGCAAAATAATACACTTAAATTCACATATGCAAATTAATGTTTAATTTAATTTTTAAGTTGTCAAAAGGGTCAATAAACTCCCCAAATTTGAAAAACAAAAAAACTAGGATTCTCTGGCAATTATTCACGGGGCTAACATAAATTCATCTTTGTAATTTGTAACTGTAAAATTTAGTAGAATAACTTTGAAACAGTTTAACTCATCGTTTGAGTCTCCACTGAATGTGATTTACATCAGTTTTATGCTCATGAATCCATTCACTCTGCTGTCTTTTAAAACTATTTATTTATTTTTATTTCATCCACCAAATTTTGTACAATACGCCTTTAGACCATATCAATACAAATGCAGCACTAGCTTTAAAATCCACAGTCCTAACATTTTCAGTCTGGCATGACACACATGTGAAAGCTATTTTGGAAAAAAAAAATCATCATAAGCATGTCTGGGAATCCCAAGTCTACTGTTAATTTATATCCATTGTACAATACTTTGAAGGCCTGTGTCGTTTTTCTGACGTCTCTTCACCATACTATTCTTCAAAAATAACACTGCAGCTCTTAAAATACCACATTCAAAAGGCTCGCTCAGCTACCTTCAGAAGTTGCACATATGAAGCCTCCTACACTTGTAGTGGAGTGGTGATTGAAAGTCTTTGTCAGAATGCTTACAGCTCTCTCAGTGCTTTCAAATTTACCTTTACAGGTCACACACACACACACACACACACACACACACACACAGTTGTGTCTCTGGAAGTTTGGCTGCTATTTGGGAGATTTAAAGATAAGACGATGGCATTTCAATAAAACACAGGAATGGTTTATGGTTCACCCTGAGCTCAGCACGGTCACTTAGGAGGCTCATCCTCTCTGGTTATTAATTTTCTATCTGAGGACATGTGTGTGTGTGTGTGTGTGTGTGTGTGTGTGTGTGTGTGTGTGTGTGTGTGTGTGTGTGTGTGATTTCTTGCCTTCTCCTCTTCCTTAGCCATTTTGGCTTCTCGTGCTCTTTTCTGCACGTCCTCCCTCCTCCTTCTGTCTGAAATGAAGACATACGAGGACACTCCCTGGAGGGTGCAGCAGTGTGGTTGTGGCAGCGCAATAAAGAATCTGGAGGTCAAATGTACACCGATATCCTTCGCCCCTCACCTAGCAGTGCACACACACATACACACACACACACATGCACACAAACACACAGCCAGAGAGGTCAAATGTACAATGCCAGAGCTGGTTACATAAACCAGATGGCCATGGTTGGCATGAAGCAGCTGACATCTAAGAGTTCTGTGTGTCTTTGTGTTTGTGAGAGGGTGTTGTATCCTCTCTTTCAGTAAAAACCACCAGGGACCTTGTTTGTTGTCTGCACCCCACAAGGGAAACACTGTCAGCTTTACATGCGCACCGGTTCACACCACACACGTGCACACATATACACAAGTCAGAGGATTCTGTCTGATAAACAAGGTCTGTGTCTGAGTGTGTAATGGTGTGTAGATTGAACTGAGTGTGTGTCTGTGTGTAGCGTCCCAGAAAGAGAAAGTGTATGATGATTGGACCAGGAGGGTTTTCAAAACGCCGAGCAGATACAACCCAAAACCTGACACCGTAAAAAGCACTGTATCACTGACAGGCCCCACACACACACGCACGCACACACACACACACGCACGCACACACACACACACACACACACACACACACACACACACTTACAGGGACAGCCTTCCAAATTGAACCCTTTTGTCCTTTTCTCTGTGTTAATTCTATCATATCATCGTTTGAAGATCACAGGGACACTTGTTTTATTTGTAAGAACTCAGACCTTTAAGGTTGTCTGTGGTAAAGATGAACTGAGTGCACAATGTGCCACATGATTCTACTTGATTTTTTTTTAATATTCTGGCAATAATGTTTTTATTTTTGATTCAATTCCAATTATCTAATTTGTCAGTTAAATTCTTTAAGTAAATTTATTTTATTTTAAAGAGTGAACAGAACTGAGGAAAGGAACTCAAGAGTGAGAGTAAACATTGCAACCTTTTAGTTATTCCACAAAATGCCTTCAGAGCCCTTCCACAGAGGTTTCTCAGGCAAGAGTGAAAGTTTTCAGTTTTGAAGTTACATTATAAATAATTAAGTCATTGTACATATAAAGCATTAATAGATGGACAGTATCTGCCCTATTTATGTTTGAAAAAAACAAGAAAAAAGTTATTTGTTTAAAGAAAATTATCTTTTAACAAAACAATATACTAGCTAGACTAAACAATGGTCTTCAATCAGCAATATAAAACTGGGTCTCCTGCATTTTAGAAGCCCAGCAGTAGATCAAAAGCTTTTGAGGTGCCTTTCATGCCTCTGTTTTTGTATATTCTAGAATTTGTTTCAGAATTTTTTCAGATAATTGAAATAAATAAGAGAGTTGATGAAAAAGCATGGAACTAAAAATACTTAAATTTGACCATGGGGGGCATCCAAGCTTTCCATTGTTGAGTTAGCCACAAAATATTTCAATAACACAGAGCAAGACAGAAAGGTATTTACAATACAGTTGATTCTTCAGAAAACAGTTTGTTTTTCTGCAAAAAAAAGTCAGGAGACTGATCATTTCAAGCCTATTTAGAGTATGGAAGACACAAGGTAAAAAAGCATGGGGGTCAGATATGAATAAAAGAAAATCATCTGCATAATGTAACACTTATCTATGACCATGTGCCATTAAGAACTCATATCTGTGTGCTACAAATGACTAATGCAAGGGCTCGGCAGCAAAGAAAAGCGGTGAAAGCAGGCACCCTGCCTTGTTCCTCTGGCTATTACAAAATCTTAAGAATCTTAATACAAATTCAAGAGACTTGACCTGTATACAGTAATTAATAAAAAAATGGTTTTGCCAAACCCTTTCCAAAGTATGAAATTAGTAGTTGTCTTTCTAGTTTCTCAAAAGCTTTCCGTGCATCCAGACAAATGAATAGCTCTCAACTGAGGGGTCTCAGGGGTGACAGGTAATATTTAACAGGTACATCAGACAGAAAAAGGAAAACCTGTTTTTAATATCACCTGTCTGGTGCCAAGAGATAATGCCAGCAGCAGCTTTTAATCTCAGCTAAAAGTTTTACAAGCTTAACAATAAAATTTGATTTCAAATTATAAGATTATAAGAATTACAGAAATGTAGTTCTTTTTTAATTAAGTCTTTAGCTTCTCTCAGAGTCGCGAGGTTATTTTGGTGTTTGCTGTAGGAGAATTTATTTAATTTTTACCAAAAACTCCAAGAAGAATGAGATTGTAAGATTTGAAAAACAAAACAAAACCCCACAACAAAACAAAAAAGAAATTAAAAGACAACATAGTAAGAGTAATAACATCTAAATCATCTTATAATTTAACATCACTCTTGTGAATAACTATCATTTCTTTTGCTTTCTGTGTTTTTATATGAACATCCACAGAATGAGCCAGGTCCCAGCAGAGATGCTTCTTACAACAGAGGGGACTCCCAAACCTAATATCCACAACACAGAGGCTCCTGCTATGAAGGTGAGCCTCCATATGAAAATGTACATTCTTCAGTCATTGCTTTTATGAATATGATACACACTGGCCATAAATTATGCCAGCTGCATCTCACACAAAGAGGTCATAGCACTTTAATGTGAAAGTATAAACCTAGTCTGGATTTATTTATGCTCTATATATGGACATTAAACTGGTAACATACTGGATTGTATCTTGGAACAGGGATTGTGTCTGGGATAAATATGAAACAGCTGTTTACAGTACATGCAGCACTTATGTGTTTGAACATCACATAATGCTAACTCATTATTCAGTTGCTTCTGGGCATGGTAGTAACTGTGTGCTAAAGACCTGTTGGGCAATGGCATCAAGCAGCATCCTAATGTAGTTTCTGTGCATGGATCTTTCATCCAAACCCCCCACCGCCACCCACCATCAGTACACACACACACACACACACACACACACACGACACAACACAAGAGCAATAATCCACACACATTTTTTTTTTTTTTTTTTTTTTTTTTTTTTTTTTTTTAAATGAAGTGAAAGGGATAAAAGCAACTGAGTGACAGCTACGACCATGACAATCTGTTCTTAACAGGTTGAGTTTATGTCACTGCGCAGTGATATAAACACAAACTGTCCAGTAAAGAAACAAAACACCAAATTCTATTGAGTACTTTTAATGTTGCTAAAATTGAGTTTAGTTTATATTTTATTTATGTCACTCTTATTGGTATAGTTTTATTTATGAAATATCTTTGGAATGACACGTCAGAAACTTGGTCAAAATTATTATTATTAATAATTATTATTATCTTTCATTAGAAACTTATTGTACCATATCATAGTACATGACTTGTAGGTAAGAACTGTATTACATCCGACATGTCAGTGTTGACGCCACCCTATAGTTCCCCCTACTGTTTCAGTCTTTGCACCAACTCCGGGACCCACCTGTAGGCTCTTGAGGGATGTTTACTCATCACTCCCCAGTTTCTATGTCTGCTATATTTGCAGAGACTAATGAGCCTAGACGGCAAACTGTAGTAATATTCAAATGCTCTAATAAATCAAGTGTGAGTTGTCAGGCTGAATTATTATAAATACTGGCACAGTTCATTTCATATTTAAAAACATAATAATATGCCATCCAAAAATAAGCAGCTTCCTTTAATTGTAGCCAAGTATCCTTAGCAAGACACTGAGGCCCCAATAGCTGTGATGTGTGAATGGGAAGGCTCCATTAAACCAACCCAATGTTAGTGTGCAAAAAACATTGGTGTCACAATAAACACTCTAAAATTCACATTTCTTTCATGATGCTTCAAATTGTTGTTGATGTTCTGTTATTTGTAAGAACGAACTAACCCTAAAAATGACTAATGCATCTGAAACTTTGAGAAAAAGTTTTCAATTCCTTACTAAACTAATTTTGGCAAATTCGAAATTAAACTGGAATGGTAAGTATGAAATGTGAGTTTTTGGTGACTTGAGGTAGAATAAACCTTTTTTGCTTCTTATATAATGTTTTACATTCTTTAATCTGTATTTTGACCTTTTTCTGATTCATAAATTGTTATATAATTCAAGTCAAACCTGAGAAACAGAAACGCCATATAGCCCTCTTGAGGAGATGATGCTGGTGGTTATACATTTCCAATCATTATGTTCAGGGACATAATGATCACTTGGTAAAGTTGGGGACCTTACAATTTATTGCAAGTTTCATTAGAGGCTATCAATAGTCTTCTACCATTGTCTTATTTATTTATGGTGTTTATAAAGAGCAATCTTAATTCCTCAAGAAATAACCTTGAAAATAAATTAAAAAACAAAAGACACTTCAGGGTTCCTTTATTAGCAGCATTTCATGGAATATCTTCTCATCCATCACATCAGCTAGCGTGTTTTCATCACATTTTCCTCAGTGCAGTTCACATTCAGTTGTCATGTCAATTATACATAAACATCTGTACAAAACCAAACTGCTGCCTTCGCACTCCACTTCCCTGCAAGATGAAGCTTTTCATAATTGGAAGGATGGCTCTTAACAAGCACTGCTTTAATTTTTCTTTCCTCCACACGTTCACCTCACCATCTCCTCGTCCCCATCATTTAGGGAGCGCTAATGTGTTAAATGCGAACAACAAAGACAGGATGTCTTGCCATTTTCTGCTTCCCCACTGTTTCCCATGTTGCTGCAGTGGCTAAATTAGACCGAACCAAACACAGAAATTAGAGCTCCGAGGCCAGATGTGATATTTGTTTTTCACACTGTGGCGTCAGGTAGATGTTTAAAAAAAAATAGAAGGAAAATCAAAACTGCTCCCTCATTGGGTTTGGGACTCATTTTGATTCACCGATGGTGCCCGGCTAATCATTTGATCCTGTTAGAAGAAGTGCTTGTGTGTGATTCTGCCATGAGAGTTAACAACCGCTGCAAAAAGGCCGGGTGTCTGGGTTTGTGCACGGCTACTGCTGTCTGTGTGTGTGCACATGGGTGCATGTGTGTATGTGCATGTGTGTGTGTGTGTGAGTGTTTGTGTGCGAGTCCCCTCGTTGGCTGTTTTTTCCCTATAAAAGCAATTTGCCCCATGCTCAGGCTAGGCAATGAGCAGATGCTACCATTGTAAATGATGATGCGAAGGGCCATAATAAAGAGTTGATAAACACAGAATTACTGCTGGGCTGTGGGCTTGCAGAGAGAGAGGGGAGGGGAGGGAAGGGGAGGAGAGAGAGAGGAAAGAGGGGGGTGTCATAAACAATGAGAAAAACAGAAAATGTAAACCAAGATCCTGAAGTTCTCTCAACCTGTTATTTATTTGCTATTTAGTACAAATACACAAGGTTATTCCTTCATTGTTATAGTAAAAGTATCCCATGCGTTTCCTTCTATTTGCTTGAAAGTGTTGGCTGTCGGGGGCAGAGACTCCGGTGGCAAGAAGTGGCTACAAGCTGTCTGGTCACCGCTCTCATATGGCTCTGATACGGCTAAAAGGAAAATCGCATTGTAGGTTAGCCCTGAGCATCCCTGTCAAAATATTCTGGCTCCACCACTGTCTATTTTTTTAAATGGCCTGTATTTGTATAGCACTTTTCTAGTCCCTAAGGACCCCAAAGTGCTTTACACAACCAGTCATCCACCCATTCACACACTGGTGATAGCAAGCTACATTGTA